AACAAAAAACTAGACTGTTTTTTCTAACGATAATTCCGCACGCACTACTGACGTCACTAGATGTCTTGCTCGGTAGTCACAARTGGAGCGTTTTCACTCACGAGACAAGACAGCCATATTAATGTACCAAACAATAGAAACGTTCTGCAGTATCTACATAAAAATAGAGTTCAATTCCCCTAGGATAGAAAATGTATTGTTTGTTGCTCCAACATGGCCGCTGTGACGTCACATAAGGATCATCTATAACAGCGTGACGGATATTTGACAAGTGTGACACTAAAAATGTAAGCCGCGCTCGATAATCAAGCTAATTTTTCAAAATGTATTTCTAATTYCTTCCAGCAAAATATCGGCCAGTCCTCGGGTCCTCCGGGACTCGACATTAACGTGCTGCCCGCGTGGGGCCAAGGGTATTCAGGGAAAGGAATTGTAGTGTCTATATTGGACGACGGRGTTGACCACACCCACCCTGACCTTAAGAGAAATTACGTAAGTATTGCTAATAATCCTGGAAGGAAATCGGGGAGGGAGGGGGAAGGAGGCTGAATTTGTTGCCATGAGATGGATGTCGCTCCTTATCCGTAATTTTTTGTATGCAGATTCAGCAAATCAAATTCGTTAAAAAAGAGCAATTTTTCGAGGTTTCGACCATGAAAACAYAGGGTCTGGAAACGAGAGTACAAGCTCTTACCTCGATGTTGCGCATGCGCAGGACTGCGTCCATAAAATTTTGCATTATACGAGAAATTTAAAAAATCCTTTTTTCTCCATTTGTAAGCATAATTAAGTCTTTTCCCCGCCTCTATATTCATAGGACCCGGATGCAAGTTTTGACTTCAATGATTTCGACCCAGACCCCAAACCGCGGTCAAAGGACCCTTTGAACTGGTAAGTATGAACTAAGGACTTTGTATAGACTCTTCCACAGTCTATAGCTCGTCCGTTCCGTCTCCACGCTTAGAGACTGTAAAGGTTCAATGACCGAAAGGACTTATGGGTCCCGAAAACTTGGACCCGGCGTGCTTTGGGARCCAAAAAACTGGTCCACAGTCTCTCTCGTTTCAATATTTTCAAGATGGCGACGAAAACGAGAGAGACTGTGGACCAGTTTTTTGGTTCCTAAAGCACGCCGGGTCCAAGTTTTATGCAAATAATGATGYGCGTATTTTTACATTTATGTTACCWTGGTAACCAAAATTGTTTATTTTTTTCGTAAGCCATGGAACGAAGTGTGCAGGAGAGGTTGCAGCCGAAGCAAATAATGGGATATGTGGGGTTGGAGTCTCTTTTAAMGCGAGCATCGGTGGTAAGTGCTAGCATACATTACTCTAGCTATAATCCACCAATAGGTGGCGTGCATCACTTCCAATGAGAACAAAAGGTGACAAAAGACGTGGATGCCATGTTGGTTGACAAGTCAATAAAAATGGCAAATAGTGCTGCACTGGGACTCCTGTGTTTTATTTAAGAATTCTACCTCATGGGCTTCCTGTRTTTTATCTGAGAAATTATGTAGTAGCAAATGGGCTACCTGTAGTCAGCTTTTTATTCTTCTTTTAACCATCTATAAAACTTGGTATTTTACTACTACACGAGAATGAGCGCAAGCGCAAAAGGAAAATTGATAGTTACGCTTGCGTTTGTGCTTGCTTTGCTAGTGAAAATCAGACATATGACCTAATCAGCGCAAGCTATATATCTTAGCTATTATATCGGCAATGTTYTCGACTTTCTCTTTAGGAATACGAATGCTGGACGGCAAGGCCACCGATACAGTTGAAGGAAGTTCTCTCAGCTATCATTCAAACTACATCGATATTTATACTTGCTGTTGGGGACCGAAGGATGACGGGAAAAGATTCGGGAAGCCAGGCTTCCTCGCGAGCAAGGCACTGCAAATTGGAGCTGAGAGGGTATATCTGTTGAAATATTCTATTACTGGTTTGACTTCTGCGTGTAACTTTGATTTAGTAGGATTTTCTTTAGTCTCTTTAGTACTAGTTTTTCATGTGTAACAAGTTTGACAAAGCTAACTASCTTGACAGGTTTAAGTGGATTGAAAAATAAAGCTAGTTTCACAGGATTAGTAGGTCTGAAGCCCCCCTTCAGAAAAAAAACAAAACAAAACTGAAGAATTAGATGCATTTTTAATTGTTTTCCGTAGTGTTGACGGAAGAAACTCAATTATCCCCCCCCCCCCCCCTTGACTGGATCCGCCCATGGTGGGTGACAGGCTTACTTATTAGTAGGGTTAACTTGTAACTTCACAATTTTTAAATTAAAACTATTATTAAGTCAATACTGTTGTGGCAATTTTAACAAACTTATTTGGCTTACAAAGTACCTTTTGCTAGATTAACAGGTTTAACTGGGTTTCTGCTACCCTRGTTTCTTCGTCAATACCTTTTACAAATAACTCAATATCAAACCTGTTTGACCGGTTCATCCYGATTACGAAATTCTCTTTACCATCTCTTAGGGTCGTGGAGGTAGGGGAAACATCTTTGTGTGGGCTACTGGTAATGGAGGACTGACAGACGATGACTGTAATTGTGACGGCTATACCACTAGTATCTACACCATATCTATAGGTGCTATCAGTGACCATGGTCTCTCCACGTACTACACCGAGACATGTGCGTCCACCTTAGCCGTCACATTCTCCGGAGCTTCGCATCGTGAAGCAGAAGAAAACAATATCGTGAGTATRCACCTCCTTCCCAGGGTTGAATGCGCACCCGAAATTCTTGKCTCAATCAGCTCGATCAAGCTCGCCCCAGTCAGCTCGGTCAAACTAGCTCCAGTCTCTTACGTAAATGGTCTTCTTTGTGACAGGTAACAACGGGTCTCGATCACAAATGCACAAAGACGTTCAAGGGAACCTCGTCTGCTGCACCACTGGCCTCTGGAGTGCTGGCGCTGGTGCTCGAGGCAAAGTATGTAGCTTTACTAGTAAACTAAGAATAGAGGTCTTGCACCATCAAGTGCCCACGCCCACAATACAGCTTGGGCTGCCAGTGATTGAATGGCAGAACAATGATTGGGATTTGAATTCTTTCTCATAAAAACGATTGCACTGTTCCTGCCATCTAACATGGCTGCCGTCACGTGATGGTACAAAACCTTTGTCGTTGAGATGGTGCAGAGGTAAATTGCCACACACTGCCTGGTGTGCCGTGAACAAAATAGGAATGCCTGAACAAGATTAGTCAGATTATGTTTAGAATTAATGACAATTTATTCAATCTAACCTCAACCAGACAGATCTTAGGTAGAAAGCATGCCATTTAAAAACTGCAGCTTATTGCTTTTGAACAGCGGCAAAATAATGCTACTGTGCATGCCCATTTGTCTTTTACCCCCCCCCCCCCCCCCCCCATTTTTTTTTTTTATGTTAATGTTTTCAGTCCAAATCTAACGTGGAGAGACGTACAGCACATCATAGTGGAAACATCGCAGAAGACGAGCCCTTTAGACGAAGGATGGAAGAAAAATGGTGCGGGAAAAGAATACAATCACAAGTTTGGGTTCGGGAAACTGGATGCAATGAGGATGATAAAAAAAGCAAAATCCTGGGAAAATGTGCCTAAGCAGAGAGTATGTTACAGCAAGGAACACGATACTCCGAGGTGAGGCGGTTTATTATGCGCAACCGAGATTAATTAAATGAATAACGCTAACGATTAATAACAGCCTAAAAGGGGTCGTCCTTCACGAATTTGCAAGATGTGATCCTATTGGAGGGAACACATGTGTAAGACAATAGAAAACAATGCCATTGTGTTCCCTCCGGACCTTTCCCCAACCCCGCCCCTAAACCTAACCARTCACAGGGGTCGTTGCAAATTCGTGAAGCTTAACCCCCTAAAATGACAGGCAAACACTGCCCGTCAAGTGCTATCAATCAGCGAAAAAACTAAAAATCCTTTTTTGACAAATTCTTTCTTGTAATTTCTTTAGGAATATCCCATCATCCGGGAACTTGATTGTGTCATCCAACACGTCATCCTGCGTCGGTACTACGTCAGAGATACGTAAACTAGAACACGTGCAGGTGAAGATCTCGCTGGAGCATCGCCATCGGGGGCATCTCAGTGTCACTCTTATTTCTCCATCAGAAACAAGAAGTGAGCTGCTGAAGACGAGAAGGAACGACCACTCGACGCAAGGACTCACGGTAATGTTATAGTACAGGAACCCCGCACTGTGTTGGGAACGCCCAAAGCGCGTTGTTTAGTTTATATCTTTCRCTTCTTATTGAATAACTTGTGTCGTGAAACTTTGCCAGATATTCTAAAGTTTGATTGGCATATTTTTATACGTGTTTGGGATGCCTGTGGTAAGAAGCCTTTCAATACATTCTGACACATAGCGCACTTACGTAATTRCGACAATGACAGTGAAAGACTAAYCTCTGTATTTTCAGGACTGGGTTTTCATGACCGTCCACTTCTGGGGTGAGGACCCCAGAGGAACATGGACTTTGATTGTGACAGACAACGACAGAAACACACGTGAACACCACGTGATCAAAGCCAAACAAGGCGACTTCGAAGACGTGACTCGAGTAGTTATGGACGACGCTGAGAAACAAGGACCTTGGGATTCAAATAAGATTAAGGAATACGACAACATCAAACAGGCACCCCCCGGAAATTATTCATCTCAGGATCATATTCTTAAGGGAATGGAGAATACTATGGGGGAGTTAGTCAAGGGTAATAAGTTTACTGAACTGGCTAGGAGGAAAAAGGACAGGCACCACGGTGCGAAAGGTTTTGTGGGTAACAAGTCTGGGCATGCGCAGTACAAACACAAAAGTAGCAAACATGGAACGAAAAAGAAAAACAAACATTGGACGAAAAAGAAAACACTAAAAARCTACAAAACTGAAACTAACAAGCATAAAGACTTGGAGAATAAAGAAAATGCTAAGAAAACTGGCAGGAAAATGAACAGCAAAAAAATACATAAATACTATAAACACAAAGGACACAAAAAATATAGATATACACCGAACAAACAACGCAAGCATCGCAAGGATAAGGGACAGGTCCAAGGCGAAGGAAAATCATTAATGGCAGAAGGGAGTGTAGAGATTCCTAAAGGTCGAACCCCTCTCGAAGCGAAGATAGCGATACAGGCTATCATGGAGCCTTATTTCAAAGTCAGCGCTTCAAGAATCGTTTTACCAAAACGATATCAAGGCTTCATGGGTGAAGTGGACATCAAGATGAAATTGGCGAAAGAAACAAATAAAGAAAGACTGGCAAAGGATGAAAATAAAAAAAGTAATCACACAATTCAATTGGGATCAGCTAGGGAAATCAGTTTCCACAAATTTCGAGGCCAACAAATTAGTGTAAGCAAAATGTTACAAGTCCCTGAGGTGRTTACACAGAACAATGAAGTAAAAAAATTAACGCATGATTTGGGGATGGAACCATTTCGAATACCTTCAMAAGAGGTAAAAGTGCTAGAAGCGGCAAGACAGAATACAGAACTACAAAACGCTCCTGTAGGAATCCCTGGAGAAGTACAAGGTGGCCAGAATAAGGCCAAAAATGATGATAACATTTATATAAATTTATTGAACTCTATAAAGTCTATGCCTCACAAAGGAAAAGCTATTGATAACTCGTTGGAACACTTTGACGAGAGGATTGATATWTTAACGGATGCAAAACCATACAGTAATGATAACAGCACTAGTATGCTGAAGAATTTGACACTTGATGATAGAAGAAATTCTAATACAGGAAGTGAGTTTACTAGAAGTAATGCAACCGGAAGTGCGTTTAACGGAAGTAACGATACCGGAAGTAACGATACCGGAAGCCAATCCTTCGGAATTAATTTAATTAGAGATGGGTTAAGTAGAGGTAACTCAAGCGAAAGGAATACAACCGGAAATCATTTAGATGACTTCAAAGGAGAAACAATTTATRACACATTGAGTAACGTTGGAATTGGAAACGAAGCATTCCGTCMAGAAGAAATACCCATAATCTTCTATGATGCTGTAAAGAATCRGTTTGCTGAAGTAAGGAAGTTAAACGCATCCGACCTAAAAACCCAAGCGCCAAAGGCGACCGGAAATGAAATTATCGGAACCGGAAATAAAATTGCAGGAAACGGAAGTCAAGGTAAAGCTGTTGAGAGTGGAGGCGAAGAGGTGCCAGATGAAAGCAGCGGGTTTAGCGGTTCAAGTGGTGTTGTRATTCAAGAGGGGACCGACTGCGATGACGGAAATAGCTTTGCAATAAAATGTCAAATCACAGGGCAGGCCAACGATGGTATGATGAGCCAATCAACAGAAGAACTGAACAACGCTTTTGAGGACGTGAAGGCTGATGATGATACAGGAGGAATTCCTCAACCACAGGGAACCCATGACTTTCAAATTTCAAGCAATTCCCCTACGGCTAAAATGCAGCCGCTCAATGATGAAGACAAGCTTGCGTACCTTTTGAGTACTGGAAAGTACCCGGGTTCACCTGAAGGAACCTCAAAACAGGTTATCGCGCAGGTCACAAAATTGAGGCCCTTCAACACTTCAGACCCAAAGGACCAAAGTGTCCCTGATAGGTCCAATATGAGTATGGGGTCCATACAGGACAAGAAATCAAAAAGCTTACAAACATCAATTAAACAACAAAATGTCCCYGTTACGCTCTCTCTGAAGGAGGGACTCTCGCAGCCAGAACAAAAAAGGCCCTTAAACGAGAATGTCCCTGATAGGCCMGTTGAACAGGATATAGGTCCTACTCCAAGTAACCAGGGTATAAAGATAGATATTAGCGATTTGGAACCACTTGATCAATTCGCTAATAAAGATTTTAAAGCGTTGGAAAGTGCACTTGAAAAACAAGTGGCGCGTCTGGAGAAATTCAGAGACGACAGTCCAACTGGAACGCGGTTTCTCCAACGAGTTAAAGACGATATTCGACAAAGAAATGTTGATGATCTGAAATTCATAGAAGATGAAATTCGTAAAGATATGAGAGAGGCTGTAGATGAAAGASGAAGTGAAAGGAAGGCGTATTCTGATGGTGATAGTTTTATTGAAGGGTCGAGGGAAGACTCAGATGATTATGACGAAAATCAAGACGRTGATGGCGATGGGTTTCACAGGCTAGAACGAAGACGACTCTCAAAACATGCTCCAAAACATGAACTATTTCATCATTATAAGCATTCTAGAGACGATAATAAATATGGGAAGGGGAATTCAGGGATYTTGAAGTCATGGACTTTGATTTTGTACGGTACATGAAGTCAGTAACTGATATTTTATATAATGGCTTTTTACATATGTTTTTTCTATTGTAACGTTTGATTATCTGAATTTTGTAATTTACCTGTAGCAAGTATATAATCTTACTACTTTAAAGTTTAAAGTTTAGGATTTTGCAAATTTAAACAGATCGACAGATTAACAGACAGAAAGGTAGAGGGACGGCCGGAAGAACGGCTGGACGGACAGACAGACAAAAAGGCAGCCGACGGACGAGCAGTTAGACAGACAGACACAAAAAGAAAAAATAAATACTGAATTAATGAAGTAACCAAAAAAATGACGGCTATAACGAGACTTAATCAACTAAAAAAGAAAGGGGGGGGGGGTTGGGGTGGTGGGGGGAATTAACAGTGGTTTCACAGAGTGGCTCTTTATCCACTGAATTCCGTATCGGAATTTAGAAGGTGATTTTTGCGGAGGGAAGAAAAAAAAAAGACCGTACGCTCGCGGGTCCTTATCTCGACCTCATCGACTGCCTCGGGTTTAGTAATTAAGATTTTCCAAAAAATTTCTTTTTCTGTGAGTAACGTATTGAACAGGAATTTTGGACATGTACGGTCAAATTAGCTCATCTTCCCACCTCTCTCTCATTTTCACTTCCCCMYCCCCCCCCCCCTCCCCCAAAGGAATCAGTTAAAAACTCTGCTCACATTTTTCTACGTAACTGACGTGTAGTAATGACATACAAACTGARCGAARGAACTTCATGGACACGTTTTTGCATGAACTAAAACATCTAAAACTTGGGATACGCACAGAAAAGAATACATACATATACGGATAGACAACCATGTACGTGGGTCTACGGAAAGACTAATAGACGGACGAATGCACCGTCAACTAATCGATGGAGTAACGGACAGACGACTGGAAAGACTTATAAGGAATCCGGCAGTCCGWCTGACGGACGGAAAGACTGATAGACGAATGCACCATTGGATCGATGGACTAATGGACACACGGACGGACGGCTGAACAGACCTTTATAGTCCAACAGACCGACCGACGGACGGAAAGACTGATGGACGAACAAATGGACCGCGACTGATATCAATGAACCAACGGATAAACGGACGGACGGCTTCACAGTCCTACAATCCGACCGACCGACCAATTGAAGGAAAGACTAATAGACGGACAAATGGACGTACCGGTGACTGATCGACGGACGGACAGACGGATGGACGATTTAACAAACTTATGGACCGACCGTCCTACCAACTGAAATAAAGACTAAAAGACAGACAGACAGACGAATGAACTGACAAGTTGACGGACCAACGGACAGACAGACGGCTTAACAGGCTTACAATTCGACCGACCAGACACAGGTACAGACTGTTACAGACCGACCCACCACTTGACTAATGAACGAAAGGACTCCAGACGAACTGAATGYCTCATTTTTGGTACAGAAGTACAGACTGTTAAAGACCGACCCACACTTGACTAATGAACGAAAGGATTCCAGAGACGAACTGAATGCCTCATTTTTGGTACGGAGGTACAGACTGTTACAGACCGACCCACCACTTGACTAATGAACGAAAAGATTCCAGACGGACTGAATGCCTTMTTTTTGGTGAAGAATAACAGAAACATACAATTGTCATGTATTTTATTTTAAATACTTAATATATTTTTGTTAATTTGCATCTTCTTAAATCTGTGCTATTCAATCCACAAGATTCTAATAAATATTCATGCATTTATCGTGTATAAAAATGATAGAAAAATATTTTACTCTCAAAAAAAAWTATAAATTATTATCCAATAATTGAGAGTTTACCATCATACGTATAGGCGTCGTACCAATTCTCTTTCAATACATAACGGTAAAATCTGACCGCGTTGTACCAGTTTCCTATATTTGAAGACAACTAACTAACCTGTAGTTTCGTTGAAAAAGGTTTCAATATAATGAGTAGATCTGCTCCTATACCAGGCCTTTCAGTCCATAATTTGTTTCAGGAGTCTGGCTCTAGTGCTAGTCCCAATCTTGCACTTTTTTACGAGAAAGCCTGTAGCCGGAGCTCGTCCTTAATGGATGTTTTACCCAGAATCTTGRAAAAAAAAATCAACGTTTTGAAAAAGTAATGGAATGATAAAAGATTAAATGCTACTGAATAGATGCTACGAAGTTGTGAACGATTCAGATTTTAAAAAATTTAATAGAGTGGCTTTACTTAACCTGTAATATTTAGTACACTAGAGTATTTTACTTTGCCCGTGAAACGAAATTGTATGAGGGGGAGGGGGAGAGGATTTTTTCTCTTAATTATCAGTTTAATTTACATGTAATTAACCAGTAAAATATTTAGTAGACTAGAGTTATTTTACTTTGCCCGTGAAACAAAATTGTATGAGGGGGAGGGGGATGGGGAGTGAACCAAAGGAAACGAGGGGGGAGAGCCATCAAATATTTACACAGCCAAAAAGGGAGAGTCACTTTGATTTTTTTCTGGCAATTATCAGTTTAATTTACATGTAATTTAATTGATTAATTTATGAAATGCTTAATTCATTCAATTGTAACTTTATATCCCAAAATATAAGTTYCTATTAATATTTCATTTTATGTAATTAAAAGTATAACTTAAGAGTTTCTTAGTCGACAAAGTTAAAGTTAAGTTAGATTTGTTATGAGTTGAATTTATCATAGTGAGCATGCGCATTGGCATACCTTGTTAGTGACGTCACTGAGAATTGGAAATCTCAGCCACGATTTGTTTGAGAGTCACCTGATCACAATAAATTAGGTTAAGAAGGGTTTGTTTAGCATTAAAAAATTTAAGTTTAAATTTTACAAAGGCAAAAAACAAACGCATTTTAAACAATCAAAACCTTGCAATATAGGCTCGGTTTTGCACCATCACGTGACGGCAGCCATGTTAGATGGTATGCAGGAACAATACAATCGTTTTTAAATTCCCAAGAGCAAAGGGATTTTATTGTTCTGCCATCTAACCACAGGCAGCCCAGTTCATTTTGTCCACTCACAAAAGATTTTTCTATTCTTTCATAAAAATAAGGATGTTATGCATGTTATAATAAAAGGCTAAGCTAATGACAATTATTGGACGAGGCTGAGCAAAATATCGTCATTTAATTTGTTAGTGGCGAGCAAAGAGGCAAATAACTGCTTGCGAGACACTAACAAATCACGTTATTTTTCAATAATTGTTTTTGCTGCTTATCAAACATACCAAGTCACAGGGAAGAGAGCCATGTTGACAAATGCAACGTTACTACGCATGAGCAGACTATCATTAGCAGCAAAACGACTTTGCACCGTAATGCGCATGAGCAGATTATTATTTGTAGGCAGCTATCCCGGCCAATCAAAACGAAGGCGAAATAATTTGAATGATAATAATCTCTTACCTTCCAGTTTTGGACGGCAGACTTTCTGACGTCAGCCTTACTTTTCTTGTCAGTTTTCTTTATTACCATGATACCTCGCGACCTCTCTTTCGAGCCTTCGCCCGCCATGTTGACCGAGTACCCATCTTGATAATGCATTAATTCTTTTGGTGAAATTGAGTGCTCAATGACCATGATTATTTCAGCCCACTATGATGAAAAGAGTAGCATAATAGAATATTGGGGACCCTGTGGTGATGCGTAAGGAGTAACGAAATAAGGGAGTGGGAGCCCTGTGGTGATCCACAAGGGATTATGGGTATGCTTTTCAAAAGTGGACGTTCAAAAATATGGAATGCTTGAAGAAACTGTTTTTCCGTCTTACCTGTCGTCTCCATTCCTTTTCGGAGCGATCAGCGATCTACAAGTCAAACAGAAAGGACCTCATAAGATTAAAATAGCCTAGAACAACAAAACGAATGGAGAAAATTAAATATTTGTCACCATGTCTCCCGAACCAGACACTCTATAGACACTAGAGTTCGATAAACATGATGCATTGTGGTCTAGTTTGGGTACGAACATCTTTTGCTCACCTTGCCTCATATAATGTTATTTGTACCCAAGCTATTCCACAATGCATCATGTTTATCGAACTAAGAAAACGCCTATAATACGCAAGTGTTTAAGAGATTTTACTGTACTTACATTCTGATAAGTGCTGGCCATCATGGCGATAAGCATGTTCAGTAGCAACACAGTAATGAACAGATTGAAGTAGAAAAACAACAGCTTGGTCAATATCGGGTATCTTGAATTCTCGAACTGCGCATACTATAAATATCAATTTAATAGCAAGGGGAAAAATATTTTATGTCAGCTGCGATAAATAGGAATGTTTCGCTCTGGCAATTCGAGAAAAATTTGTAATTTACAAGATCAACGTTACGTTCAACGTACGTCAAATTCTCCAAACGTCATCTGTAGTAGGGACAGGAATGTGTCGCCCTCGTGTTCGTAATTCGGTTCACCTTGCATTAGATATTTAAACGCTGCAAGAAATGAAAATTCGATGAAGCATTTAAACTGTTACATTGGAAGATTAGGGGAAAATCAATAATTAATAATCGATAATAATTGATAATCAATAATAGGTAATCGATAATGATGGATGATGGATGATGG